GGCGCTGCTCCACAGGCTGCAGAGCACACAGTGTAGGTCAGCAGGGACGCTGCTCCACAGGCTGCAGAGCACACAGTGTAGGTCAGCAGGGACCCTGCTCCACAGGCTGCAGAGCACACAGTGTAGGTCAGCAGGGACGCTGCTCTGTGGGCTGCAGAGCACACAGTGTAGGTGAGTAGGGACGCTGCTCCACAGGCTGCAGAGCACACAGTGTAGGTCAGCAGGGACGCTGCTCCACGGGCTGCAGAGCACACAGTGTAGGTCAGCAGGGACGCTGCTCCACAGGCTGCAGAGCACACAGTGTAGGTCAGCAGGGACGCTGCTCTGTGGGCTGCAGAGCACACAGTGTAGGTCAGCAGGGACGCTGCTCTGTGGGCTGCAGAGCACACAGTGTAGGTCAGCAGGGACGCTGCTCCACGGGCTGCAGAGCACACAGTGTAGGTCAGCAGGGACGCTGCTCCACAGGCTGCAGAGCACACAGTGTAGGTCAGCAGGGACGCTGCTCCACAGGCTGCAGAGCACACAGTGTAGGTCAGCAGGGACGCTGCTCCACAGGCTGCAGAGCACACAGTGTAGGTCAGCAGGGACGCTGCTCCACAGGCTGCAGAGCACACAGTGTAGGTCAGCAGGGACGCTGCTCCACAGGCTGCAGAGCACACAGTGTAGGTCAGCAGGGACGCTGCTCCACAGGCTGCAGAGCACACAGTGTAGGTCAGCAGGGACGCTGCTCCACAGGCTGCAGAGCACACAGTGTAGGTCAGCAGGGACGCTGCTCCACAGGCTGCAGAGCACACAGTGTAGGTCAGTAGGGACGCTGCTCTGTAGGCTGCAGAGCACACAGTGTAGGTCAGCAGGGACGCTGCTCCACAGGCTGCAGAGCACACAGTGTAGGGCAGCAGGGACGCTGCTCCACAGGCTGCAGAGCACACAGTGTAGGTCAGCAGGGACGCTGCTCTGTGGGCTGCAGAGCACACAGTGTAGGTCAGCAGGGACGCTGCTCTGTGGGCTGCAGAGCAGACAGTGTAGGTCAGTAGGGACGCTGCTCTGCGGGCTGCAGAGCACACAGTGTAGGTCAGTTGGGACGCTGCTCCACAGGCTGCAGAGCACACAGTGTAGGTCAGCAGGGACGCTGCTCCACAGGCTGCAGAGCACACAGTGTAGGTCAGCAGGGACGCTGCTCTGTGGGCTGCAGAGCACACAGTGTAGGTCAGCAGGGACGCTGCTCTGTGGGCTGCAGAGCACACAGTGTAGGTCAGCAGGGACGCTGCTCTGTGGGCTGCAGAGCACACAGTGTAGGTCAGCAGGGACGCTGCTCTGTGGACTGCAGAGCACACAGTGTAGGGCGGCAGGGACGCTGCTCTGTGGGCTGCAGAGCACACAGTGTAGGTCAGCAGGGACGCTGCTCCACAGGCTGCAGAGCACACAGTGTAGGTCAGCAGGGACGCTGCTCCACAGGCTGCAGAGCACACAGTGTAAGTCAGCAGGGACGCTGCTCCACAGGCTGCAGAGGACACAGTGTAGGTCAGCAGGGACGCTGCTCCACAGGCTGCAGAGCACACAGTGTAGGTCAGCAGGGACGCTGCTCCACAGGCTGCAGAGCACACAGTGTAGGTCAGCAGGGACGCTGCTCCACAGGCTGCAGAGCACACAGTGTAGGTCAGCAGGGACGCTGCTCCACAGGCTGCAGAGCACACAGTGTAGGTCAGCAGGGACGCTGCTCCACAGGCTGCAGAGCACACAGTGTAGGTCAGCAGGGACGCTGCTCTGTGGACTGCAGAGCACACAGTGTAGGTCAGCAGGGACGCTGCTCTGTGGGCTGCAGAGCACACAGTGTAGGTCAGCAGGGACGCTGCTCCACGGGCTGCAGAGCACACAGTGTAGGTCAGCAGGGACGCTGCTCCACGGGCTGCAGAGCACACAGTGTAGGTCAGCAGGGACGCTGCTCCACAGGCTGCAGAGCACACAGTGTAGGTCAGCAGGGACGCTGCTCCATAGGCTGCAGAGCACACAGTGTAGGTCAGCAGGGACGCTGCTCTGTAGGCTGCAGAGCACACAGTGTAGGTCAGCAGGGACGCTGCTACGTGGGCTGCAGAGCACACAGTGTAGGTCAGCAGGGACGCTGCTCCACAGGCTGCAGAGCACACAGTGTAGGTCAGCAGGGACGCTGCTCCACGGGCTGCAGAGCACACAGTGTAGGTCAGCAGGGACGCTGCTCTGTGGGCTGCAGAGCACACAGTGTAGGGCAGCAGGGACGCTGCTCTGTGGGCTGCAGAGCACACAGTGTAGGGCAGCAGGGACGCTGCTCTGTGGGCTGCAGAGCACACAGTGTAGGTCAGCAGGGACACTGCTCTGTGGGCTGCAGAGCACACAGTGTAGGTCAGCAGGGACGCTGCTCCACAGGCTGCAGAGCACACAGTGTAGGTCAGCAGGGACGCTGCTCCACAGGCTGCAGAGCACACAGTGTAGGTCAGCAGGGACGCTGCTCCACAGGCTGCAGAGCACACAGTGTAGGTCAGCAGGGACGCTGCTCCACAGGCTGCAGAGCACACAGTGTAGGTCAGTAGGGACGCTGCTCTGTGGGCTGCAGAGCACACAGTGTAGGTCAGCAGGGACGCTGCTCTGTAGGCTGCAGAGCACACAGTGTAGGTCAGCAGGGACGCTGCTCTGTGGGCTGCAGAGCACACAGTGTAGGTCAGCAGGGACGCTGCTCTGTGGACTGCAGAGCACACAGTGTAGGGCGGCAGGGACGCTGCTCTGTGGGCTGCAGAGCACACAGTGTAGGTCAGCAGGGACGCTGCTCCACAGGCTGCAGAGCACACAGTGTAGGTCAGCAGGGACGCTGCTCCACAGGCTGCAGAGCACACAGTGTAAGTCAGCAGGGACGCTGCTCCACAGGCTGCAGAGGACACAGTGTAGGTCAGCAGGGACGCTGCTCCACAGGCTGCAGAGCACACAGTGTAGGTCAGCAGGGACGCTGCTCCACAGGCTGCAGAGCACACAGTGTAGGTCAGCAGGGACGCTGCTCCACAGGCTGCAGAGCACACAGTGTAGGTCAGCAGGGACGCTGCTCCACAGGCTGCAGAGCACACAGTGTAGGTCAGCAGGGACGCTGCTCTGTGGGCTGCAGAGCACACAGTGTAGGTCAGCAGGGACGCTGCTCTGTGGACTGCAGAGCACACAGTGTAGGTCAGCAGGGACGCTGCTCTGTGGGCTGCAGAGCACACAGTGTAGGTCAGCAGGGACGCTGCTCCACGGGCTGCAGAGCACACAGTGTAGGTCAGCAGGGACGCTGCTCCACGGGCTGCAGAGCACACAGTGTAGGTCAGCAGGGACGCTGCTCCACAGGCTGCAGAGCACACAGTGTAGGTCAGCAGGGACGCTGCTCCATAGGCTGCAGAGCACACAGTGTAGGTCAGCAGGGACGCTGCTCTGTAGGCTGCAGAGCACACAGTGTAGGTCAGCAGGGACGCTGCTACGTGGGCTGCAGAGCACACAGTGTAGGTCAGCAGGGACGCTGCTCCACAGGCTGCAGAGCACACAGTGTAGGTCAGCAGGGACGCTGCTCCACGGGCTGCAGAGCACACAGTGTAGGTCAGCAGGGACGCTGCTCTGTGGGCTGCAGAGCACACAGTGTAGGGCAGCAGGGACGCTGCTCTGTGGGCTGCAGAGCACACAGTGTAGGGCAGCAGGGACGCTGCTCTGTGGGCTGCAGAGCACACAGTGTAGGTCAGCAGGGACACTGCTCTGTGGGCTGCAGAGCACACAGTGTAGGTCAGCAGGGACGCTGCTCCACAGGCTGCAGAGCACACAGTGTAGGTCAGCAGGGACGCTGCTCCACAGGCTGCAGAGCACACAGTGTAGGTCAGCAGGGACGCTGCTCCACAGGCTGCAGAGCACACAGTGTAGGTCAGCAGGGACGCTGCTCCACAGGCTGCAGAGCACACAGTGTAGGTCAGCAGGGACGCTGCTCTGTGGGCTGCAGAGCACACAGTGTAGGTCAGCAGGGACGCTGCTCCACAGGCTGCAGAGCACACAGTGTAGGTCAGCAGGGACGGTGCTCTGTGGGCTGCAGAGCACACAGTGTAGGTCAGCAGGGACGCTGCTCTGTGGGCTGCAGAGCACAGTGTAGGTCAGTAGGGACGCTGCTCCACGGGCTGCAGAGCACAGTGTAGGTCAGTAGGGATGCTGCTCCACAGGCTGCAGACCTGGCCCCCAGCTCCCGTCAGGTGCAGGAGCATTGAGGCTGCCACGCATAGGAGCAGAGGGAACTTAGCTGGCTTCAGGCATGTACACCAAGTCCAGGTCTCTGTGACCCCGGGGCCAGGTAGAGCTTCCAAGCTCCTTTCCAGGCCTGAATCTCCAGACACAGTCCTGTGTGGAGGCTCACACAGTGCTTCACCGGGTCAGGAAGGGATGCCCATGCCCCCTCGCCCTGTGGCTGCTGTGACTCACTCTGCGTCTGCCCTTTGACAGCTGCTTTGTAGCTCTGCAAGTACCCTTTGCTGTGTGTGTCTAGCTGACGGTGCCTTGCACTCCACAGGCCCAGTGTGCAGGTGTGTCTAGCTGACGGTGCCTTGCACTCCGCAGGCCCAGTGTGCAGGTGTGTCTAGCTGACGGTGTCTTGCACTCTGCAGGCCCAGTGTGCAGGTGTGTCTAGCTGACGGTGCCTTGCACTCCGCAGGCCCAGTGTGCAGGTGTGTCTAGCTGACGGTGCCTTGCACTCTGCAGGCCCAGTGTGAAGGTGTGTCTAGCCGACGGTGTCTTGCACTCTGCAGGCCCAGTGTGCAGGTGTGTCTAGCCGACGGTGCCTTGCACTCTGCAGGCCCAGTGTGTAGGTGTGTCTAGCTGACGGTGCCTTGCACTCTGCAGGCCCAGTTTGTAGGTGTGTCTAGTGGATGTGCTTTCCTGTGACCTTGGCCTTCTCTCACGCTTGCGAGCATGGTGGGCAGGTCAGGCTGGCCCAAGGCCTCGCCCGCCCACCACCGCCACCCCTCCCGCAGGGATCAGTCCAACGTCCGGAGGATGCACACGGCTGTGAGGCTCAACGGGGTCGTACTCAGCAAGTCCCAGGATGCCCAGCTGGTCCTGCTGAACATGCCAGGGCCCCCCAAAAACCGGCAGGGCGATGAGAACTGTATCCTTTGTGCAGAGCTGCTCGTGGAGGGGGTTGGTGGTAGGAGGGTGCTGCTGGGCGCCTCTCTGCATTAGGATGTGGGGGCTCGGGGCTTGTTCCTCCTGTCCACATGAGGTCAGGTGACTTGAGGTGGGGCGAGGCGCTATGGCTCGCTTCTACTCCTCACCCTCCGCCCCAGGCACGGGAAGGTGGGGATGGGAGGAGCGGAGCCTGGCCCCTGCAGTTGGCAGACCAGGATCCTGGAGCAGACCAGGAGCTGTGGGAATTGGGTCCCTTCCTGCACTGGAGCCGGTGCCGGCCAGGAAGTGCGGCCTGGGCTCTGGAGCACCGGCCCTGGACAAGCTTGACTCGTGTTGGTGGTCAGTGCTCCGGCTGCAGGAGGAGGTGCTGTGGATATAGGAGGGAAAGCAGGCTTTGAGGGAGGAAGTGGATGCTGGGTGGGGAACAGGGTCACAGACTGTCCAGCAGGGCAGGCTGGAGGAGAACCTTCTATCCCTCCACGAGCTGCTTGAATACTTATGACTCACGCCATGCTCAGCCATACAGAATTCCCAAATGGCGCGGTGGGTCTGGTGCACCCTCTCCCTGCTCCAGGAAGAGCTCAGCCCCTCCCTGTCCGTGGTGGGTAGGTTGAGGGGACAGGAGCCAGGCAGTTCCCAGCCTGGTGTCAGCCTGTGTTCTGGAGCTGGGGTGGGGACCCTCCTCTGTGCACACCAGGGCAGTCCTGAGGTGCCCTTCATGAGAGCCTGGGCCTAGGCTTGAGGGGCGGCTCCACGGGCCTCGGCAGAGGGGGTGTCCTGCTGGGTGCTCACAGGGCCTGGGCAGCGGAGCGAGACGTCTCCTCCGGGTTTCTTGCCTGAGGCGCCCTTGTGGGCCGGCTGCATGTGCAGGGTCCCTCGCGCCTGCTCTGTCTGGTCTGCTGACAGGATTTGGGTTGGTGTCTGTCCTTGCTCCCCTTCCAGGACCTCCTCCTTCCTGGGGTCCCCTACAACTCCCAGCCCCACGTGTCTGTCTCTCTCTGATGCCCGGACCACTTGGACCGAAGCTGTGTTACAAGTAGCGTTGTCTCCGTGCAGCTGGGCGAGGTTGTGTGGCCTTAATTCTGCCCGCAGATATGGAGTTCCTTGAGGTCCTGACTGAGGGGCTGAACAGGGTGCTCCTGGTCAGAGGCGGTGGCCGGGAGGTCATCACCATCTACTCCTAATGCCTGACGATGCCAAGGACAGTGCCAGCAGCCTGGAGGCAGGCCGACTCGCCAGGGTGCCACGCCGGTGCGGGCCGGGCTGCTTCCCCAGACCTGCCGCCGGCCAGCGTGCCGCCAAGTGGTGCTGGCTTCCTACTGGTAGAACGTGCTCCCAGCAGTGTGAGAGGCAGGCACGGACTAGCAGTCCCTGCAAACTTAGTCGTCTAGGGCAAAACGGAGGTTCCTGCCTAGCCCCTGGGGAACGGGTCCTTCCCAGACTTCACCCCGGACTCCAGGGTCGCCCGTCCGTAGCAGCCCGGTCCAGTCCCGTGTTAGTCACATTTTACTTCTGCCCTGTGCCCTGCTTCACGGGAAAGCTCCAGGCTGAATGCCAGGCACCGCCGTGCAGGCTTCTCCATCGCCTCTAGGCCGGGCAGAGCACCAGGGGCTGCCACCCCTCACCCCACTCAGCACGCGGTCCACATGGAGCACACCCTCTCCACACTCCACTGGAAGGCTGTGGGCCAAGCCAGCTGGAGGGCAGCCTCATGTTTCAGGGGAGAATGGCCACACGTCAGGCACGTAGGACGCCAGGGTGTTCCTTTTTGTGGGAACGCAGCCACTTCATTTCTAAAGCACTGGTGGGTCACAGCCAGAGTGCACTGGGAGCCACAGGCAGAAAGTGTTGTAATGCCCCCACAGCCCCCACCGCAGACGCAGCAGCCCTGAGAGCGACGCTCACACCGGGCCTGCCCACACGGGGTGGCACGGCCCTCTACCCCAGGCTTCATGGAGACAGCTCAGCCCGGGCACCCTCCAGGCCTGAGGCCCTGCGTCCGTGCCCAGCTCAGGCCTGGCATGGCAGGGAGGCCGAGCTCTCTGCGCTCAAGGACCTGACACAAGATTTGCACTTTACCCTCCAGCCTTGCTTTGTAGCTCGTGTTCTGTTCCTGAGCTGTGGGTTGTGGCAGTAACCGTGCCTCCCCTTCTCTGTGGCATATTTATTTAAAGCACCCTGGTGGGGGTATGTGGTCCATGAAGGGCTGCCTATGTCCAGGCGCTTGGGTATCTGGTTTTCCAAGAGTCAGTGCTGCCTGTGGAGCTTGGGGCGGGGCAGAGGCCCCTAGGGGTGACCTGGGCTCTGAGAGGCTCAGCATGCCACTGTGGCCTAGCCAGTCCTGGGACTCCTTGCTCCTTCCCACTTAGGTCTGAATTAAAGCAGATCCCCGCCCCCGACCACAGGTCCTGAGTGCCCCATCCTGGGGGGAGGGGGGACGGGAAGGGCACCTTGGCCAGTGCCGGAAACAGACCCCAGGTGGCGGAGCGCCGCTCAGGTCCCCAGTCTTCACCCACTAGAGGTCTGCCGAGGTGCGGGCCTCCTCTGTGCCTGGCCTCCTCCTCCCCGACAGACTCCGTGATCCCGGTAACTAGAGCCATGCAGAAGTGAATCCATGGTGGTTTTGGTTTTTGTTTTTTAATTTTTAGGTTCTTTGTATGATTTTGTTAGTAGAATAAAGTTCTGAAATTGCAGTGTCTGAGGACTCGGACTCTCCTACTGTGAAGTTAAAAACAACTAGAGAAAATGCATGTCGCATCCCCTTCCTGGCCTCCTGCAGGCTGACCAGCCAGCCCCGGCCACGGCTGTGGCCCTGCTGGTGAGGACAGGCGAGGCGAGCTGCCCTGGATGAGCCTGGCCCAGAGCCCTCGGCCACGCGGTGGAGGGCCCAGAGCCCTCGGCCACGCGGTGCAGGGCGCAGAGCCCTCGGCCACGCGGTGCAGGGCGCAGAGCCCTCGGCCACGCGGTGCAGGGCCCAGAGCCCTCGGCCACGCGGTGCAGGGCGCAGAGCCCTCGGCCACGCGGTGCAGGGCCCAGAGCCCGCGGCCACGCGGTGCAGGGCGCAGAGCCCACGGCCACGCGGTGCAGGGCCCAGAGCCCACGGCCACGCGGTGCAGGGCCCAGAGCCCACGGCCACGCGGTGCAGGGCGCAGAGCCCTCGGCCACGCGGTGCAGGGCCCAGAGCCCGCGGCCACGCGGTGCAGGGCGCAGAGCCCTCGGCCACGCGGTGCAGGGCGCAGAGCCATGGCCACGCGGTGCAGGGCGCAGAGCCCACGGCCACGCGGTGCAGGGCGCAGAGCCCACGGCCACGCGGTGCAGGGCGCAGAGCCCTCGGCCACGCGGTGCAGGGCGCAGAGCCATGGCCACGCGGTGCAGGGTGCAGAGCCCACGGCCACGCGGTGCAGGGCGCAGAGCCACGGCCACGCGGTGCAGGGCGCAGAGCCACGGCCACGCGGTGCAGGGCGCAGAGCCCTCGGCCACGCGGTGCAGGGCCCAGAGCCCTCGGCCACGCGGTGCAGGGCGCAGAGCCCTCGGCCACGCGGTGCAGGGCGCAGAGCCCTCGGCCACGCGGTGCAGGGCGCAGAGCCACAGCCACGCGGTGCAGGGCCCAGAGCCCACGGCCACGCGGTGCAGGGCCCAGAGCCCTCGGCCACGCGGTGCAGGGCGCAGAGCCCACGGCCACGCGGTGCAGGGCGCAGAGCCCACGGCCACGCGGTGCAGGGCGCAGAGCCCTCGGCCACGCGGTGCAGGGCGCAGAGCCCTTGGCCACGCGGTGCAGGGCGCAGAGCCCGCGGCCACGCGGTGCAGGGCGCAGAGCCCGCGGCCACGCGGTGCAGGGCGCAGAGCCCGCGGCCACGCGGTGCAGGTCGCAGAGCCCTCGGCCACGCGGTGCAGGGCCCAGAGCCATGGCCACGCGGTGCAGGGCGCAGAGCCCTCGGCCACGCGGTGCAGGGCGCAGAGCCACGGCCACGTGCACTGCTCCTGAGGTTTTGCCTCTTTAGTTTCCTTGGAGTATGTGGTACAGTGCAGTGAAGGTGTGTGCTTGTGTGTGTGCATTGGTGTTCTCTGTAAGTGGAAGTAGAGGCAGACATTCCTCAGCATGCGCTTTCTCAGCAATGGCCGCCCGCTGACCACACCTGTCGCCACTTGTGTAAGCGAATTCACTGTGGCTCTTTGGAAAGTGGGTTAATGCAGGGTGCAGCATATGATAAAATGCACCTGTTCTTACTACACAAGGCGCTTGTCTCAGCCCCCAGTCGGCCACCCATTTGTCCTTAGGAATGACTCAATAGGCCAGTATAGAGACACGAACTATGTGAACCTTCACCTCCTAGGGGGCCACCCCTGGCCCCTGCCAGCCAGTCGGGCCTGCTGCTCTGCGCCGCCGTCTCCTGCACAGGGCCACATGGGACCGTGTCGCACAAGACAGCTCTGGTGTCTGGGGTTCAGACCGCGTCTGCCCGGCTTGCGTGGCCGGGCACCGTGATGAGGGCTGCTGCGCTGTGCTTGCACTTGCTGCCACCCTTGTGCGCTGGGGCCTTGGCAGGCCAAGGACACGCGGCCCCCTCTCCACCCTTTCCCCTTTCTAGGAGGAGAAACGTAAGGTCGTGTTGGTTACTATGGGAACAGCCTCCACAGAGCTTTGCTCTTTCTTTGTCCGGCCCAACCCCAGGCTCCCAGAGGTTAGTGCTGTGCTGACGCCAGCTGCATCTGGGGAGAGCCCCGCAGAGTCTGGAATCACAGGGGAAAGCAGTTAGAATGTGCTCTGAGTTCCCGCTGCTTTGAGTAGTTACACAGAATAGCTTGAGATGACTACGGGGCGGCCGGTGTGCTGGTGTCGGCGTGGTGAGGGACACTGGTGGGCGGGTCCTGGAGGGGCCCGGCCTGTCTCCTGGTGCCGAGTCCCCGCTCTGGACCCCTCCCTGGGGCCCACGGTCCTCGGCCGGGACCCCAGCACTCGGCTAGGATGGGTGGAAGTGGTGGTGGTGGTGGTGGTGGTGATGCTCGTGGTGGTGGTGGTGCTCGTGCCGCTGGGTCACGGGCAACACGCAGCCCTCGGGGCCCAGCACGGGCGGCAGGTCCCGCACCACCTCGTGCTCCCCCAGGGCGGGCTGGCCGTGCGTGGTCTTGAGTGGAGAGTGGCCTTCCCTGGCCTTTTGCCGGTACCGCTTCTGGCCGTGGGGCGGGGGCGGGGGTGGGGGGAGGTGGGGGCCGTCCTGCACAGTTTGGGGTGGGGCAGCGGCTGCCAGGCAGTGGCTGGGGGCTCTCCCAGCCTTGCTGCTGCCTGGCCCCCCGGGGGGCTTCCCGCCACCCTTGGGGGACCTGGGGAACTGCTTTTCCAGCCCCTTCGGGCCCCGGAGGGCAGGCTCAGCAGCGGGCGCCGTGTGGTCAGCCAGCACCTGTGACCTGCGCTGCGGCCCGCTGTGCGCGCCCGGCTCCTGGGGGCGGCACCTGCCCTGGGGGTGCGCGGCCCTGCTGTGGTGCTCCTGTCGGGCTCGCTCCGGAGGGGACCCTGTGGCGGCACACGGGGCTGGAGTCAGGCCTTCCGGGGCTTTTCCTAAAGATGGGCGCACCAAGGCCCCAGTGGGGTCTGCACCAGCGTGTCCTCGTCCGAGGCTGCCTGGCGGCCACAGGCTTCATCAAATGTCCACACCCCAGTGCACTCCAGGGAGGGCCCAGCCTAGCCCTGGACCTGCCCTGGACTGGGGGGCGGCTCTGTCTGGAGACTGGCTACCACCCCAGAAGAGGGCACAGCCGCCTTGGACCTGTCCCGTGGGGTTCCTGGGGTAGCCCTTCTCTGCTGCTCCTCTGGGGTCTTGCCCTGTGACAGCCTCCCAGTGGGGGACTGGGATCTGGGGCCGCCACCCCCCTTCTGGCGTGGTATTCCTGTCTTCATCAGAGGCGGGCTCTGCTCCTAGGCCTTGGGCCTCGGGGCCTCGGAGGCGGGGTGGGCACCCCCCCCCCCCAGCCTGTCAGTGCCCTGGCCGGGCTTCCCGAGTGGACCCTAGCAGGGCCCCACCTCGAGGCCTCAGTGGACAGGAGGTGAGGCTTGGGCCCACTTGGGGGACGGAGGGGACTTGGGAGGGGAGGACGGTGCCCGGACCCTGCTGCGGTGCACCAGCCGGCAGCACCAGGGCAGTGGTGAGTGAAGACGGATACCCACCGGGACCAAACCTGGATGTGTAGTTCTCGATTCCGGCAAGGTCCAGGTAGTGGTTCCTCCGCTCCGTGTTCTCGTCCACGCAGTAGGGTCCCCGCATGGAGCAGGGCTGCGAGTCTGCGTTGGGCCTCCTGCGTGGGACAGAGGTGGGGCCTGACCAGGAGCAGCCTCGAGTGGATGGTGGCCAGAGGCGTGGATGGCACTCCCTGCCCGGGAGAGCCGGAGAGGAGCACGCGGCTGTGTGTCAGCCACAGCAAGGCCCGTGGCCAACGGTGACCAGCCTGCAGCCCCGCGGCCCCCTCCAGGGCCGGGGACGAAGCCACCCAGTAGGAGGAGCACACTCAGGTGGTGGCTCCAGCCAACCAAAGCCTCCCTGTCCTCTGACAGGCCTGGCGTTCAGCGCTGCCCAGGCCTCCCGGCAGCCTGCAGCGCCTGCCTGGCCAGGCCGCCCGGCACCGCCCTACCTGCAGTGGTAGGACAGTCTCCTGTCGGCCACCCTCGGGTCATCTGCGATGTTACTCTCGGTCCTGCTGCGCGGGGGCTCCTGGTCTGAAAAGGTGGTGTCCCCGCCAGCCTCACTGGTACCCGTGAACACGAGGCCCACCTACCTCCCAGCCCATGGAGCCACCCACCCACTGCCTGCCCCCTCTGCCCCCCATGCGTCCACTCCCTGAGCACTCGTTGAACCGATCCTCATCCAGTCCCTCCTCCTGCCTTTGTTCTCTTGCCCTGCCACCCTCCTCTAGACACCATTGACCTGCCCACTCGCGTTTTCATTCATCCTCATGTCTTCATAATTTACTCATCCACACATTTATTTTTCCAGCACTGGAGTTTGAACTCAGGATCTCATGCCTGGCTGGCTTGCTCAGCTGGTGCTCCGCCATGTGAGCCATGCCTCCATCTGGGCCTTCCAAAGGTTATTTTGGAGATAGATCCTGGTGGACTTCTCTGTCTGGGCTGGCCTAGCTATTCAGAGTAGCTAGGATTACAGACATGAGCTACCAGCACCCGCTTTATGTGTGTGTGTGTGTGTGCACGCGCGTGCACGTGTGTGCATGCGTGTGCATGTGCGCACACGCACAAGTATATGCATGGTGTGTGTGCAAGTATTTTTTTTTATTGTGAAAATACCGTACAGAGGGGTTACAATTACATGGGCAAGGTAATGAATGCATTTCTTATCAAGCATTGTTGCCTCCTCCTTTGTTTCCCCTTCCCATCCCCTTGTGTGCAAGTATTTATATGTGGTGTAGGAGGATATGTACGTGTAAGACATGACTTTATTCTCTTGCTAAGGCTGACCTAAATACACACCCATTCCTCAGATGTTTGCCCCTGGTAGATAGCATGGCCACCACATTCATGACTAATGCATCCATCCATCCACCATCCATCCAACTATATGCCCATCCATCCACCCACCCATCCATCCACCATGCACCCACCACCCATCCATCATCTAACCATCCACCCAACCACCCATCCATCCATCATCCAACCACCCACCCACCCATCCACCATCCACCCAACCATCCATCCATCCACCCAACCACCCATCCATCCATCCATCATCCAACCATCCACCCACCCACCCATCCGTCCATCATCCAACCACCCACCCACCCATCCACCATCCACTCAACCATCCATCCATCCACCTAACCACCCATCCATCCATCATCTAACCATCCACCCAACCACCCCATCCATCCATCCATCATCCAACCACCCACCCACCCATCCACCATCCACCCAACCATCCATCCATCCACCATCCATCCAACTATATGCCCGTCTATCCACCCACCCAACCATCCACCATCCACCCAACCACCCATCCACCCATCCATCCATCATCTAACCATCCATCCATCCACCCATCATCCATCCATCCATCATCCATCCACCCACCCACCCATCCATCCATCCATCCACCCATCCATCCATCCACCCATCATCCATCCACCCACCCACCCACCCATCCATCCATCCATCCATCCACCCATCCATTCATCCACCCATCATCCATCCACCCACCCACCCACCCATCCATCCATCCATCCATCCACCCACCCACCCATCCATCCATCCACCCATCATCCATCCATCCATCCATCCATCATCCATCCATCCATCCATCCACCCAACCACCCATCCATCCATCATCCAACCATCCACCCACCCACCCATCCAACCATCCATCCACCCATCATCCATCCATCCATCCACCCATCATCCATCCATCCATCCACCCATCCATCCATCCACCCATCATCCATCCATCCATCCATCCACCCATCCATCCATCCACCCATCATCCATCCACCCACCCACCCATCCATCCATCCATCCATCCATCCACCCACCCACCCATCCATCCATCCACCCATCATTCATCCATCCATCCATCCATCCATCCATCCATCATCCATCCATCCATCCATCTACCCAACCACCCATCCATCCATCATCCAACCATCCACCCACCCACCCATCCATCCATCCATCCACCCATCATCCATCCATCATCCATCCATCCATCCATCCATCCACCCAACCACCCATCCATCCATCATCCAACCATCCACCCACCCACCCATCCACCCATCCATCCACCCATCATCCATCCATCCATCCATCCACCCATCATCCATCCATCCATCCATCCATCCATCCATCCATCCATCCATCCACCCACCCACCCATCCATCCATCCATCCACCCATCATCCATCCATCATCCATCCATCCATCCATCCATCCACCCAACCACCCATCCATCCATCATCCAACCATCCACCCACCCACCCATCCACCCATCCATCCACCCATCATCCATCCATCCATCCATCCACCCATCATCCATCCATCCATCCATCCATCCATCCATCCATCCAGGGCCCCGCTTGCATGTTCTGTGCCCTTCCAGGTGTCGTGTGTTGCTTGAGGAATTGTGGAAACAAGACCCGGGGATGGTGCAGGAGGCAGGGGATAAGGGATGAAGGTGCTGGCCCTGGCATGGGGAAGTGAGCTCAGAGGTGAGCTCTGAGAAGCACAGGTGGGCATGGTACATGAATCAGGGCCGGGGGGCAGCTGAAGCCCCAGTCTTTGGAACATGGTGCTTGGGAAACCCAGGCCTACCATGCACTGAGCAGGGTGCTCCTTGGCGCAGGCCCCCTCACCTTGACTGCTGGGAGGACACTCCTTCCTCTTGCTAGAGGGTTCAGGGCTGACCGTCAGCTTCACTCGGAGAGTCTTGCTGCTGCCTGAGCAGTGGTTGATGGAGGCGTCCACAACCTCGTAGATAGTGTGCATCAGGCTGGACATGTCCTGGGACCAACACAGCAGACCTCAGGAGCCCTGCCCTCCCTGTCCCCCGCTGTCCTGCCCCCAGTGCCACTCACGCTCCATCCAGACTACACACCCATGTCCCACCCCCTGGCTGGCACTGGATGCCTGGACAGGTCTCATTTTCAAGGCTGATGTCCACAGGAGTCAGAACTGGCTGTGCAAGCAGGTCGACTCCACGTAGCCACACTCATCCCGCATGCTGGTGTCTGGTTGACTCGCAGCCACACTCATCCCGCATGCTGGTGTCTGGTTGACTCACGCAGCCACACTCGTCCCGCATGCTGGTGTCTGGTTGACACACTCGTCCCGCATGCTGGTGTCTGGTTGACTCACGCAGCCACACTCGTCCCGCATGCTGGTGTCTGGTTGACACACTCATCCCGCATGCTGGTGTCTGGTTGACTCACAGGCACACTCATCCCGCATGCTGGTGTCTGGTTGACTCACAGGCACACTCATCCCGCATGCTGGTGTCTGGTCGACTCCACGCAGCCACACTCATCCCGCATGCTGGTGTCTGGTTGACACACTCATCCCGCATGCTGGTGTCTGGTTGACACACTCATCCCGCATGCTGGTGTCTGGTCGACTCCACGCAGCCACACTCATCCCGCATGCTGGTGTCTGGTTGACTCGCAGCCACACTCATCCTGCATGCTGGTGTCTGGTTGACTCACACAGCCACACTCATCCTGCATGCTGGTGTGTGGTGGCCATGCATTTACTTCCATTTCTTTGTTACTCTGGACACACAGCCCTGCTGGATGGAGGCACGCTGGGGACCAGGCTGGCCCAGCTGCAGAAACAAGATTACACTAGGCTCTGCCCCGGGAGCTAGGTATTGAAGGCACCAATTCCAGCTGATTGACCAGTTGCAGTGGGTCCTGCCATGTCCACCTCCTATCCTGTCTCGAAAGATGCCAGCTAGTTTCTCCTCTCCATCCAGCATGGTCTGTCTCTCCATCTTGGAGACACACACACCATCTGTTCATCCCTCTCTTGGACCAGCTGGATTTGCACATACCACAGGCCACGTCCTGAGTCCCCTCCCGTGGCCAGTCTGCAGCACATGTCCACGTTACCTCTCTGGTGACCTTCCCACTGTTGTCAAAGTCGTAGAGCGTGAAGGTCCATTCTTGGCGGTTGTCTTCCTCCACTGAGACATCACACTGCAGGGCCTACAGGTGGCAGGTGGGTCGGGTGGGGAAGTGGCGCTCAGACCAGGGGCCAGGAATCTGCCCTGCAACCACCGGGTCTTCACGTTCACCAGACAAGGGGACCACAACCCCAAAGGGCTTTCTACCAGAAATTTCCATGGGATATGAGTAGGCTCTCCCTTCCAGCCAGGAAAGGGATCTAAAGGCACAGCCAGAACCTCCAGACTCACCTCACCCTAGCCTAATGGCACCACTCCTTGTGGGCATCAAGCTCCAAGCCCTGGACTGGGTTTGCCTACTGTAGGCTGCGTCCCTGCCCACGGTGGTCAGCACTGCCCGTGAGCTGTGTCCCCACTCACAGTGGTCAGCATGCATTGCACATGGACCATCAGCTGTCAGTCCAGAACCCAGACTTAACATCAGAGGTGATGTGCTGCTCCCAGAAGCCCCTGGACTCCGTGCAGTCTTCGCTGACACTCTTGGGGCTGAGCACATCGACCTTAAGTGCCTCAGACATTTTAGTGTTGCACAAACAGACTTAGTCCACTTTGGAGTGACCCCTGCACTACCACTCAGCTTTAGTTTCTCTGTGATGCCTGGAACTGGCTGAGCTACCAGAAACCATGGGCTGGAAGCACCCAGAACCCACGTGGGGCCAGGCCTTGGGCACCCACCGGGGACCCACGCAGGACCAGGCCTCAGATGCCCACTGGGGACTCACACGGGGCCTGGCCTGAGTGCCTACGGGGACCCACGCGGGGCCGGGCCTCGGGCGCCCACCGGGGACCCACGCGGGGCTGGGCCTCGGGCGCCCACCGGGGACCCAGGAATGTGCCCATATGGTAACAGAAGGCAGAGCCTTACCTCGATGTTCAGGCTCTTCCCCCCTGGTCCCTGTGGACCCTCACAGCTCCCTGTCTTCTCGCCGTCCTCTGTGCCGATGAGCTGTCCTGACCCCTTGTGGCCCTCAGCCTTCTCGGGGGGCACTGCCACTAGGGTATGAGAGGTTGGGGGTGGGCCTGGTGCCCGTGGGTATGAGGACGCAGGTCTGGGTTTCTGCCCTGGCCAAGCCTCTGGCTGCTTCCAGCTGGGCAGGTGGAATGTGTCCCTTCTGAGCAAGGTGCCCATGGGTCAGCAGGGAGAGGTCTTGCTGAGCCCTTACCCCCTCCCGGCAACCCCAGCCAGGTGCCCCCTCCAGCCAGCTCCCTGGTGCCAATCACGCTCCTGTAGGGAGCAAAAGGTCCTTAGGGCGGCTGAGGTGCGGGGGAGTTGGGGGAAGGCCCTGCGCGGGGCTTCCTCCCCCTCTGTGCCCCAGCACCCAGTGCCATCGCCCCGGGGCCCAGGGCAAGGCTGTAGTGGTCAGCTGACAGCCTTGCCTGCTGCAAGGAGCCCCCGGTGCTGGGCCTTGTTTGTTCTCTGGGCCCCAAGCCAAGTTCCCAGATGGCAAGCAGGCCTGCTGGAGGAGCTCCATGCAGTAGGATCGGGAGGAGGCCGGAGGGGCCCTGGAGCGCCAGCCATGGCGGCAGCGGCTCATTCCACATGCACAGCAGTGTATCGCGGGGGGCACCACTCCACACTGCAGGGACCCCGGCACACCAGCCAGGTGTTGGCTCAGAATTCACAACTGTCTGTGCACAGAAGCCAGCTCCCCTGCCACTCCTGGAATGTGCAGGGACGCCGGCTCTGCCTGCTCCTCTGATCGAGGGCTGTGCAGCCTGCTCCGGGCAGGGCCTCAGGAGCCGGGTACCGTGCACCGCTCTGAAGCCTGGGATGGCTCACCCTCGCACAGCGTCTGAGGTGTGCATCTCACATAGGAGAGGCCTGGGCGGTGCGGGAAGAGCAGCCACGGAGGCCACACTCACCTAGAGGCCCCTGTTCCTCTCGAAAAGGCCCCTCCTTGGGGTCCCCACTGAGCAGCCCCTGCAGAGAACATTGCCGTGAGTGACCATCGGACAGGTGTGGTGTGAACTCACACCAGAAATACCACCCTGTGCAGTGATCGGGGCGGGCAGTCACTGCGGGCAATAACTGCTGGTTGAGACGCAGCATTCCCCTGCCACAGCCCTAAACACAAGAGGCCAAGAGTCCTGGAGCCCGCCCGGCCTCTGACCCCTGGCCAGCCTGCAGCACTTCCCACCAACGCTGTGCCCCTGGTGTCTGGAGCCCAGGGCACCTGCCGGAGCAGCAGTGTGGCTGGCATAGCTTCCAGGACCAACCACCAGGGGGCGCCCGTCAGCCCACAGCTGACCTCAAGTCAAGTCATGGAAAAATGGGAAACACTTCAAACACATCCAAGCAATGCTTCAGCCAAGAAACTGCAGCACAGAAGCTCACGTGGTTCTCATAAATAACCCACAGAGGCGAAGGGTAGGAGAAGAGCACAGAATGAGCCGAGGGGTGCTGTCTGCCGCCAAAGGGCCTGGGGTGGGAACGTGGAGCCCAGCCCCTCACTGAAGACATGATGTCCACACACTGACCAGCCCATCACTGAGGACATGATGATGTACACACACTGCCCAGCCCCTGACTGAGAACATGATGTCCACACACTGCCCAGCCCCTCATTGAGAACATGATGATGTCCACACACTGCCCAGCCCCTCACTGAGACCATGATGTCCACACACTGCCCAGCCCCTCACTGAGGACATGATGATGTCCACACACTGCCCAGCCCATCACTGAGGACATGATGATGTCCACACACTGCCCAGCTCCTCATTGAGAACATGATGATGTCCACACACTGCCCAGCCCCTCACTGAGGACATGATGTCCACACACTGCCCAGCCCCTCATGGAGGACATGATGATGGCCACACACTGCCCAGCCCCTCATTGAGATCATGATGTCCACACACTGCCCAGCCCCTCACTGAGGACATGATGTCCACACACTGCCCAGCCCCTCATTGAGATCATGATGTCCACACACTGCCCAGCCCCTCATTGAGATCATGATGTCCACACACTGCCCAACCCCTCATTGAGATCATGATGTCCACACACTACCCAACCCCTCATTGAGATCATGATGATGTCCACACACTGCCCAGCCCCTCACTGAGATCATGATGATGTCCACACACTGCCCAGCCCCTCATTGAGGACATGATGATGTCCACACACTGCCCAGCCCCTCATTGAGACCATGATGTCCACACACTGCCCAGCCCCTCATTGAGAACATGATATCTACACACTGCCCAGCCCCTCACTGAGATCATGATGATGTCCACACACTGCCCAGCCCCTCATTGAGATCATGATGATGTCCACACACTGCCCAGCCCCTCATTGAGACCATGATGATGTCCACACACTGCCCAGCCACTCATTGAGACCATGATGATGTCCACACACTGCCCAGCCCCTCACTGAGATCATGATGATGTCCACACACTGCCCAGCCCCTCATTGAGACCATGATGATGTCCACACACTGCCCAGCCCCTCATTGAGACCATGATGTCCACACACTGCCCAGCCCCTCATTGAGAACGTGATGATATCCACACACTGCCCAGCCCCTCATTGAGACCATGATGATGTCCACACACTGCCCAGCCCCTCACTGAGGACATGATGTCCACACACTGCCCAGCCCCTCATTGAGAACATGATGATGTCCACACACTGCCCAGCCCCTCACTGAGAACATGATGTCCACACACTGCCCAGCCCCTCATTGAGAACATGATGTCCACACACTGCCCAGCCCCTCACTGAGGACATGATGTCCACACACTGCCCAGCTCCTCATGGAGGACATGATGTCCACACACTGCCCAGCCCCTGACTGAGAACATGATGTCCACACACTGCCCAGCCTCTCATTGAGACCATGATGTCCACACACTGCCCAGCCCCTCATTGAGACCATGATGATGTCCACACACTGCCCAGCCCCTCACTGAGGACATGATGATGTCCACACACTGCCCAGCCCCTCACTGAGGACATGATGTCCACACACTGCCCAGCCCCTCACTGAGGACATGATGATGTCCACACACTGCCCAGCTCCTCATTGAGAACATGATGATGTCCACACACTGCCCAGCCTCTCATTGAGAACATGATGATGTCCACACACTGTCCAACCCCTCATTGAGAACATGATGTCCACACACTGCCCAGCCCCTCATGGAGAACATGATGATGGCCACACACTGCCCAGCTCCTCATTGAGAATATGATGATGTCCACACACTGCCCAGCCCCTCATTGAGACCATGATGTCCACACACTGCCCAGCCCCTCATTGAGAACATGATGATGTCCACACACTGCCCAGCCCCTCATTGAGACCATGATGATGTCCACACACTGCCCAGCCCCTCATTGAGACCATGATGTCCACACACTGCCCAGCCCCTCATTGAGAACATGATGATGTCCACACACTGCCCAGCCCCTCATTGAGACCATGATGATGTCCACACACTGCCCAGCCCCTCATTGAGACCATGATGATGTCCACACACTGCCCAGCCCCTCATTGAGACCATGATGATGTCCACACACTGCCCAGCCCCTCATTGAGAACATGATGTCCACACACTGCCCAGCTCCTCATGGAGGACATGATGTCCACACACTGCCCAGCCCCTCATTGAGAACATGATATCCACACACTTCCCAGCTCCTCACGGAGGACATGATGTCCACACACTGCCCAGCCCCTCACTGAGAACATGATGATGTCCACACACTGCCCAGCCCCTCATTGAGACCATGATGATGTCCATACACTGCCCAGCCCCTCATTGAGACCATGATGATGTCCACACACTGCCCAGCCCCTCATTGAGAACATGATGATGTCCACACACTGCCCAGCCCCTCATTGAGACCATGATGATGGCCACACACTGCCCAGCTCCTCATTGAGATCATGATGTCCACACACTGCCCAACCCCTCACTGAGAACATGATGTCCACATACTGCCCAGCTCCTCACTGAGAACATGATGTCCACACACTGCCCAGCCCCTCATTGAGACCATGATGATGTCCACACACTGCCCAGCGCCTCACTGAGGACATGATGATGTCCACACACTGCCCAGCGCCTCACTGAGGACATGATGTCCACACACTGCCCAGCTCCTCATTGAGAACATGATGATGTCCACACACTGCCCAGCCCCTCACTGAGGACATGATGTCCACACACTGCCCAGCCCCTCATGGAGGACATGATGATGGCCACACACTGCCCAGCCCCTCATGGAGGACATGACAATGCCTGACCATCCTGGTTTCTCACTGACTGGACACAGGGCACCAACCCAGGGGCTCTGTGTATTTGCAGGACACAGAGGAAATGTGACCCTTCTCAAACCCAGGAAAGTGTCCCCAGCTTGTTGTTTCTGAGGCTTGGCAGGAAATGCAAGAAGACATTAACAACAAACATGGACAGACCAATTATTCTGCAGGCTGCTGGGAAGAAGACCAGGAGACACTCAGGTGCAGTGAGAGAGGGGGAGGGAGGGATGGAGGGAGAGGGAAGGAGGGAGAGAGGGAGGGGGAGGGAGAGAGAGTGAGAGAGAGGGGGGAGGGAGAGGGAGAGAGAGGGGGGAGAGGAGAGGAAGAGAGAGAGAGGGGGGGAGAGATAGAGAGGGGGAGGGAGGGGGAGGGAGAGGGAGAGAGGGAGAGACAAGAGAGAGAGAGGGAGAGGGAGAGGGAGAGGGAGAGGAGCCACAGCCAGACTCGGCAGCAGCCGAGTGCCCCTGAGGGGGGCCGGGATGCCGGACGCTCCCATGCCCTGGGCAGGGAGAGGGGTCCCTCGGGGTGGACAGAGCCTCATGAAGATACAGTGCCCTCCACGCAGCCGCTCCACCCACACTCCCGCCGCACACCACCGTCTTTGGAGGTGCCCCGGCCCCCCAAAGCCCGGTTGCAACGGGAATGTGAGAGCAGGCAGAGCCCCCTGGGAGGAGGGAGGTCCCGCCCCCCGCCACTAGAGCCCAGTCCAGCACCCCGTGTCCCAGGCCCCCGTGTGTTGGACCCACCAGGAAAATGTTGCTTGTGGAGTTTGGCCTCAGGATTCCTTTTGGAGGGTCATGCCAGAGCCCATTTTAGTAAGAGAATATAGCTATCAAAAAGCACTCAGCCAGATGTTGGTGGCCCACACCTGTAATCCTAGATACTCAGGAAGCTGAGATTTGAGGATCTCGGTTCAAAGCCAGCCCAGGCAGAAAAGTCCATGAAGCTCATCTGCAATTATCCACCAAACAACAAGCTGGAAGTGGAGTTGTGGCTCAGAAAGCACAGCGCTAGCTTGAGCAAACAAGCCCAAGGACAGTGCCAGGCCCCGAGTTCAGCCGCAGGACCCGGGGAGCGAAGCCCTCCTTCCCTCTCTGACTGTACAGTGGCTGACCAGGCCCTTGGCACCTGCCCCAGGCAGAGCAGAGGCCTCTTGTGTGAGGAATCTCTGACTCTCGGGGGTTCCATGGCGGGATGGCTCGTGGGTCTCATGCCAGGCTAGACACTGCAATTCACGGACGGACGCCTGGCCCATCACAGGGTGCGCCACTGTCCAAGGCCCGCAGGGAAGGTCACTGCTGCCGGTGCCCGGTGGGCTGGCTGGGACTCCACACCCACCTCAGAAGTCCTGCTGGCTTGCCCCAGACATGCCGGCGGGCAGGGAAGGGAGTCTATGCACAGCGTGCGCACACAGCACTTCTGAGGCTTGGCCCTGCTCAGGCCAATGGCCGGAAGGCCTGGATCCCGCATGGCTGGTGTCTCTCACCGCGCCACAAGCAGGAGACAGCCAGGCGGACACTGCAGACGCATCCTGGGAGCGCCGCACCCCCTCGGCCTGGTGGGAGCCCTGCAGCCCTCTTGAATGAGAAGCAGCTTCTAGAAAGGCGCTGGGAGTCGCAGACTCTGGAGGGTGCCGTAGCTCCTGGTGAGACCAGAGATACAACCGACATATGGGAGTCCCGAGCTGGCTACACGCGGTGATCACAGCACAGGCCACAGGGAAAGGAAGAGCCAGCCCTGAGCACTGGCTTCGGCATGGTTACAGATCAGAGTATAATGAATGGATGATAGATGGATGGGTGGGTGGGTAGATGTGTGGATTGGATGGATGGATGGGTGGGTGGGTGGGTGGGTGGGTGTGTGGATGGATGGATGGATGGGTGGGTGGGTGGGTGGGTAGGTGTGTGGGTGGATGGATGGATGGGTGGGTGAGTAGGTGGATGGATGGATGGATGGGTGGGTGGGTGGGTGGGTGTATGGATGGGTGGGTGGGTGGATGGGTGGGTGGGTAGGTGGGTGGATGGATGGGTGGGTGGGTGGATGGATGGGTGGGTGGGTGGATGGGTGGGTGGGTGGGTGGATGGGTGGGTGGGTAGGTGGATGGATGGATGGATGGGTGGGTGGGTAGGTGGATGGATGGATGGATGGGTGGGTGGGTGGGTGGGTGGGTGGGTATGTGGGTGGGTGGATGGATGGGTGGGTGGGTGGATGGATGGGTGGGTGGGTGGATGGGTGGGTGGGTAGGTGGGTGGATGGATGGATGGGTGGGTGGGTAGGTGGATGGATGGATGGATGGTGGGTGGGTGGGTGGGTGGGAGAATATGGGCATTCAAGACAGAAGAGGACTGGGTTCAATCCTCAGCACTGCAAAGGAAAAAAAAGAAAAGAAAAGAAATCTGCTCAGACCCTAGCCTGGTCTCCTGGACACATTTCCAAATGCTTCAATAACCAAGACTACTTTGATCAATCAAGGCTAAAAAAGCTAATCAGGCTGCTATAACCAAGGCTGTGATAACCAACCATGGCTGCTTTAACCAACCAAGACTGGAATAAACAACTAATTCTGCAAGAAAAATCTAGACTGCTATAGCCAAACAAGGCTGCGTCAACCCACAGCAGCCGGTCCCGCAGGGCAGTGTGTCCAGGGAGCAGGAGGCAGTACAGCCCGCCAGCCCCAGAACATTCAGCTTTCTAAGTGCTAAGTCTCGAGAGCCAGACGGATCAAAGAGGAGGAAATGAGCATTTGTGGGGAAAGTAATTCAGGTCTCTGTGCCTGTTGATTTAAAGCCAAACGTTCCCTGCACTCATAAAACACTCTTTAATCTAACTGCTTCAATTACATAGAAGGGCCAAGAACTTTAATTGTAACTTATAAAACCTGCCCAGGGCCCCTGGCCGGATGAGCTCCCCCCCCCCCGGCCCCCCAGGGCAGCGGAATCCCTAGAACGCAGAGGCCAGGCCGGGCTGGGCGCACACAGACGTTACCTGGCCCTGCATGCACAGCACAGCAGTGGGGCGCGGCCGGTGCCCTGCAGCCCTGGCTCCCTCCTCTCCCGCTCCGCTCTCAGGAAACCTGAGCCCGCACACACCCTGCCCCGACCCTCGTCCCTTCCACCTCCCCTTGGCCAGGCTTCCTGCCATGTCCCCTCTTCACCCCCTCCGCAGCCAGCTGCTCAGGTCTGCCCTGTCCAGAAACCACTGAGGAAGCCTGCCCGGCCAAGCCCCCCCCGCCCCCACGGGAGGAGCCCTTGGCTGGCAAGGCCCCCAGGGCCAGTGATGAGAGCTTGCTGACGCCTGCTCTGGCCTTGCCCATTGCCGGCGGAGTCTCCCTCATCCTGACCCTCACCGGAAGCGGCGGCTGGTCAACCCGGGCCCTTGGGGACCAAGGTCCTCCCTGGGGTCCTTGTCTGGCTGAGAACACGCCCTCACCACGCCAAGGCAAGCTGGCACAGGGAGCTCTAGTCACCGAGAGTCCTTTTCTAGAAAGGAGACACCGAGCCGTGGCGATCGGCGCCCTGGCCGCGGAAGGCCTGAGTTTTGGCTGAGATGCTGCTCCGTGTCTTCCTCCCCTGCCCTCAGGTGGAGAGTCCACGGGCTCTCCCTCCTCAGCTGCAGAGCCGCCAGGAGCATCTGGGAGGGTCTGGGTGGTCAGAAGGCTGCGGGGTGCAGGCCAAAGCCTGGGTCCCCTGGGGTGTGGGCTGCAGCTGGCCGAGGCCACTAGAACACTGCGGGAGTAGCCGGAGTAGCCTGGCCGGGGCAGGCAGCCACACACAGGCCAGCCGTGAGACGTGAAGCAGGAGACCCAGCGTCCCGCAGGGTGAATGTGAGCAACATGAGCAACGCAAGCAAACTCCTGGGGACCCAGGTTGGGGCCTTGTCCCCAGGACCCAGCTGGACGCCGAGGGACGGGTGGAGGAGCGGCTGGAGGCCTGGAGCAGAGGCCCGTGTGGGGAGCGTTCAGGGCAGAGAAGCAGGGAGGAATAGGGCTGCAGGGTGGACCGGCCAGGCCCTTGCCTTGGCTGGCCCGACAGTCGTGTTTGAGGCCATGTGTGCAGCGAGGGCTGACAGGGCACAAGGCCAGGGGGGCGTGGGGGACGTATGTCCCGGCGCAGAGGAAGCATGGGGCCGGGAGTCGTTAAGCACAAAGGCCGCGTTCCTCCCGGCTACAGCGCAGACCAGCGCGTCGGGGTGTGGGGGCGCCCTGTGCTCCCTCCCGTGGGGCTCTGAGGAGCACTGTTTTCTTAGGTGAGGGACCCCACCTGGTGTGGCTGCAGCCGGCGGCTGGAATTCAACTTCCAGGTGCTCCGCTGGCCCGTCTGTCTGGAAACACAGCGGCTTTGAAGTCGCGTCTCGGTTTCAGCGGCTAAACAGTTGCAGATGTGACCATGTCGTTTTATGGGCTTAATAATTCCAAGACATGTGCAGTGGGGCCCAGGCCTCGGCGGGCCCCTTCCGTCTGCTGCTCTGCGCGGGGTGCTGAGACCGCATCCAAGCGCAGAGTTGAAGAAGGCGAACCGGAGCCTGCTGGGCGGCCCCTCCAACGGCCTCCTCCGTCCACACAGGTGCAGGCCTACCTCCTTGTTTACTTCCTAAATCAGAAAAGTACCAAGACCTGAGGACAGCTCTACTCTGCCTTCCTGCTGTATTCGTGGGTAAGGACCGTTCTGTCAGATTTTGGGACAACCTTGCTCTAAATTTACTGCTAGACTGGTAACTTGGGGTCACATGGTCTCCTAAAATCTCTATACTTCCCACCATGCCTCACTGTAACCCTGCTTCCCGGGCCAGGCCAAATACAGACCTCCCCATGGTGACCTCCTCCGGCCCCTGCCGTGACTTCCTGTCCCTTCCATTAGTGGCAGGTGCCACACTGGGTGTAGACCCTCTCACCCCCAAACACGCTGGCCCCGAGATGGCTGGGACGGAGGCCCACACACGGCCCAGGGCATGGGCAGGGCTGGCACACCGTGCCCTGTCCACGAGGAAGCACAGAACCATTTACTCGGTGCTGCAGGGAGGAGTTGAGACCCTGTGCTGACAGAACCTCTCCAGCACGAGGAGGGCCAGGAGACAAGCAGGGAGGCGTCGGCAACACCTCTGCTGGAACCCGGGGCACATGGTTCTCCACCTTCACGGGGACCTGGACAAGCTGTGCTTCCTACATTAGCAGCGTGAGTGGGAAAGGGAAGCTCAGGACACAGGCTGACCCTGCAGGCCCTGCGGGCCCTGCGGACATCCACCGTCAGCTGGACCTTCACAGGGACAGCACATAGGGGCTGCTTTTGTGCAGGGACTTAAAGGCAGGAGGCACAGTGTGTACCACGCCCCTCACACATGCACGCACGCACTTGGAGTGCTTTTAGTTGATCACTAGGTCTTCAGGGACCCTGTCACAGCTAGCACCAGCCCCGCCGCTTTCTCCCTGCTGCCATTTCCAACTGGCAATTTAGAATTTCACAGAAAAAGGAGACCAAGCAAGGGCGGCCCTCCCACCCTGGCAATTGCTCAGAGCTCACAAGCCACTGCGGCTACAAACCAAGAGAATAACACCCGGATTCCAGAGTCCCCCAAGCTCCAGACCTCATCCTCAGCTGCTGCATGAGGGCTTGCTCAACTGTTGGACACGCAGGCCTACGTGGGCACCCTCTGACTCTCCACACCAACCCTCTGGACAGCCTTGTATTCTCTCATGCATATGAAAGCCTTCTGTTTCCCATTTCAAAGGAAGATTCATTCCAAATCTGGAAGAGAACCCCACTGCATTCCCATTATTGTTTAAATTAAATTACTGCTCTGGTTTCCGTTTAGAAGGCTCCTACATTAACCACGTGTAGTGAGGGGTACAAGGCCCAGGCCAGAGACAGGTAGACAGCAAACTGCCCAGGCCTTAGGGACAAAGCGCCTCAGGAAAAAGGCAATGAACAATTATTTCTTCTTCTTCTTCTTCTTCTTCTTCTTCTTCTTCTTCTTCTTCTTCTTCTTCTTCTTCTTCTTCTTCTTCTTCTTCTCCTTCTCCTCCTCCTCCTCCTCCCCCTCCCCCTCCCCCTCCCCCTCCCCCTCCCCCTCCCCCTCCTCCTCCTCCTCCTCCTCCCCCCTCCCCCCCTCCCCTCCTCCTCCTTCTTTTTAAAAGTGCCCCGGTAGTGCTGTGTGAAAACAACTTCACAGCCTCTTGCTGGCTCTGCTGTTGCTGGCCCAGCTGTGGGGACCACAGCAGAGGCCTGAAAGGAGCAGAGGGCAAAGCTACATTCTCAGACACAACCACCATCACGCTAGAGTTCAGTGAGGCTCTGTGCAAAAGATGCAGGGTCAGGAGGCTGGCACACATGCCATCTGCCTCGGAAGCAGAGTTGACCCCAGCTAGCTGAGCAGCTGCACAGCTGCGGATGGACTCTGAAGGATGGGAACCGCGGGGGCACAGCTCAGGCTGCAAACACAGGAGAATGGGAAGCTTGGGCTGGAGGCGTGGCTCAGAGGTTGGAGCACTAGCCAATGAGCGAAAGCATTAGGTACTGAGCTCGAGTCCTGGTCTTGGACCCAAAATTTAAAGAAAGAGAAAGAAAAGAAGGGCTCTGAGAGGAGGAGACAGACAGACAGATGGCTGAACACCCACGGTTCAGACAAGAAAGGCCGGGCAGCCAGAGACAATGCTGAGAGCAGACTTGAGTGCTCTGAGCTGTTCACTTTCCCTTTAGCCCAAGAAAGTATGGTGCCTCCTGCTGTGCCTCCTTCCTGCTGTTCCTTCCTTCTTGCTGTACCTTCCTGCTGTACCTTCCTTCCTGCTGTACCTTCCTGCTCTACCTTCCTTCCTGCTCTACCTTCCTTCCTGCTCTACCTTCCTTCCTGCTCTACCTTCCTTCCTGCTGTACCTTCCTTCCTGCTGTGCCTTCCTTCCTGCTGTGCCTTCCTTCCTGCTGTACCTTCCTTCCTGCTGTACCTTCCTTCCTTCCTGCTGTACCTTCCTTCCTGCTGTACCTTCCTTCCTGCTGTACCTTCCTTCCTGCTGTACCTTCCTTCCTGCTGTACCTTCCTTCCTGCTGTACCTTCCTTCCTGCTGTACCTTCCTTCCTTCCTGCTGTACCTTCCTTCCTGCTGTACCTCCCTTCCTGCTGTACCTTCCTTCCTGCTGTACCTTCCTTCCTGCTGTACCTTCCTTCCTGCTGTACCTTCCTTCCTGCTGTACCTTCCTTCCTGCTGTACTGCCCTTCCTGCTGTACCTTCCTTCCTGCTGTACCTTCCTTCCTGCTGTGCCTTCCTTCCTTCCTGCTGTACCGCCCTTCCTGCTGTACCTTCCTGCTGTACCGCCCTTCCTGCTGTACCTTCCTTCCTGCTGTACCTTCCTTCCTGCTGTACCTTCCTTCCTGCTGTACCTTCCTTCCTGCTGTACCTTCCTTCCTGCTGTGCCTTCCTTCCTGCTCTACCTTCCTTCCTGCTGTACCTTCCTGCTGTACCTTCCTTCCTGCTGTACCTTCCTTCCTGCTGTGCCTTCCTTCCTGCTGTACGTTCTTCATGCTGTACCTTCCTTCCTGCTGTACCTTCCTTCCTGCTGTACCTTCCTTCCTGCTGTACCTTCCTTCCTGCTGTACCTTCCTTCCTGCTGTACCTTCCTTCCTGCTGTACCTTCCTTCCTGCTGTACCTTCCTTCCTGCTGTACCTTCCTTCCTGCTGTACCTTCCTTCCTGCTGTACCTTCCTTCCTGCTGTACTGCCCTTCCTGCTGTACCTTCCTTCCTGCTGTACCTTCCTTCCTGCTGTGCCTTCCTTCCTTCCTGCTGTACCGCCCTTCCTGCTGTACCTTCCTGCTGTACCGCCCTTCCTGCTGTACCTTCCTTCCTGCTGTACCTTCCTTCCTGCTGTACCTTCCTTCCTTCCTGCTGTGCCTTCCTTCCTGCTGTACCTTCCTTCCTTCCTGCTGTACCTTCCTTCATGCTGTACCTTCCTTCCTGCTGTACCTTCCTTCCTGCTGTACCTTCCTTCCTGCTGTACCTTCCTTCCTGCTGTACCTTCCTTCCTGCTGTACCTTCCTTCCTGCTGTACCTTCCTTCCTGCTGTACTGCCCTTCCTGCTGTACCTTCCTGCTGTACCTTCCTTCCTGCTGTACCTTCCTTCCTGCTGTACCTTCCTTCCTGCTGTACCTTCCTTCCTGCTGTGCCTTCCTTCCTGCTGTACCTTCCTTCCTGCTGTACCTTCCTTCCTGCTGTGCCTTCCTTCCTGCTGTGCCTTCCTTCCTGCTGTACCTTCCTTCCTGCTGTGCCTTCCTTCCTGCTGTGCCTTCCTTCCTGCTGTACCTTCCTTCCTGCTGTACCTTCCTTCCTGCTGTACCTTCCTTCCTGCTGTACCTTCCTTCCTTCCTGCTGTACCTTCCTTCCTGCTGTACCTTCCTTCCTGCTGTACCTTCCTTCCTTCCTGCTGTACCTTCCTTCCTGCTGTGCCTTCCTTCCTGCTGTACCTTCCTTCCTGCTGTACCTTCCTTCCTGCTGTGCCTTCCTTCCTGCTGTACCTTCCTGCTGTACCTTCCTGCTGTACCTTCCTTCCTGCTGTACCTTCCTTCCTTCCTGCTGTACCTTCCTGCTGTACCTTCCTTCCTGCTGTACTGCCCTTCCTGCTGTACCTTCCTTCCTGCTGTACCTTCCTTCCTGCTGTGCCTTCCTTCCTTCCTGCTGTACCGCCCTTCCTGCTGTACCTTCCTGCTGTACCGCCCTTCCTGCTGTACCTTCCTTCCTGCTGTACCTTCCTTCCTGCTGTACCTTCCTGCTGTACCTTCCTTCCTTCCTGCTGTGCCTTCCTTCCTGCTGTACCTTCCTTCCTTCCTGCTGTACCTTCCTTCATGCTGTACCTTCCTTCCTGCTGTACCTTCCTTCCTGCTGTACCTTCCTTCCTGCTGTACCTTCCTTCCTGCTGTACCTTCCTTCCTGCTGTACCTTCCTTCCTGCTGTACCTTCCTTCCTGCTGTACTGCCCTTCCTGCTGTACCTTCCTGCTGTACCTTCCTTCCTGCTGTACCTTCCTTCCTGCTGTACCTTCCTTCCTGCTGTACCTTCCTTCCTGCTGTGCCTTCCTTCCTGCTGTGCCTTCCTTCCTGCTGTACCTTCCTTCCTGCTGTACCTTCCTTCCTGCTGTACCTTCCTTCCTGCTGTACCTTCCTTCCTTCCTGCTGTACCTTCCTTCCTGCTGTACCTTCCTTCCTGCTGTACCTTCCTTCCTTCCTGCTGTACCTTCCTTCCTGCTGTGCCTTCCTTCCTGCTGTACCTTCCTTCCTGCTGTACCTTCCTTCCTGCTGTGCCTTCCTTCCTGCTGTACCTTCCTTCCTGCTGTACCTTCCTTCCTGCTGTACCGCCCTTCCTGCTGTACCTTCCTTCCTGCTGTGCCTTCCTTCCTGCTGTGCCTTCCTTCCTTCCTGCTGTACCTTCCTTCCTGCTGTACCTTCCTTCCTGCTGTACCGCCCTTCCTGCTGTACCTTCCTTCCTGCTGTACCTTCCTTCCTGCTGTACCTTCCTTCCTGCTGTACCTTCCTTCCTGCTGTACCGCCCTTCATCCTGTACCGCCCTTCCTGCTGTACGTTCTTCATGCTGTCCTCTGTGCTGTACAGTCTTCCATGTTGTACTGCCCTTCCTGCTATACCACCCTTTACACTGTACCGTCCTTTGTGCTGCCGTCCTTCATGGTGTACTGTCCTTCTGGTATACTGTCCTTCCTGTGGTACCATCCTTTGTGCTATACCTCCCTTCATGCCCCTACCCCAGGTGTACCACCCAGGCACCTTGTAGGGTATGTCGGGGGCAGAGGGCTAAGTGGTTAGGACAGGTCTCGTCTCCAGGGCTTGGGTTTATAGAAGCTCAGATACCCAGCTCAGCCCAGATAAAGAGCAGTCAGCAGAGGTGGGAGGGAGGTTTGAAGGATGAAATGATTTGAAAGGGGATTCTGAGCAGAGCCTGAAGCCAACCACAGCAGGTAAGAACACCCCGCCAAACCCAAGTCCACGCACAAGGCCTGGGCACCAGAGGAGGCGGGGGGGGGGGGGAAGTCAGCCAGGTGAGAGTAAGGGCTGGAGCCAGCTCCTCTGTGCTCTGAGGCATCACCCATGCTTGACCCCGCCCCCGCTGACTCATTCCAGGGGCTGGAAGGGCCCGTGGCAAAGGATGCTCGCGACCGCGCGTGCACCAGGTGGCTGGGGGAGGGCAGGGCTGCCTGTGGGCTTGGGGCAAGGTCTGCCCTAGAGACAAGTTGGAGTTAGGCCTCTCATTACTAGAGATGGAAAAAAGCCTCATTTCTCCTGTCACTGTAGGAGGCCTGGTGCCAGCCAGCACTGACGCTGGGCCAGGGGTACCACGGGCACACGAAGGGGCAGCCTCCAGCCGCGCGGCCTGGGTCCCGCCAGCAGCACCTACAGTACCGGGGACCCACGGAGAGGTGAGCTCTGTGAGCAGGGCTCCAGCCCCAGACTGGGACATTTGACATGTGTTAAAATGATCACCATTTGAATTTCTGTTTCAGCGTATTACATGTTTCTTAGTCTCTCTGATTTCGGAACTAACTATGGTTCAAAACTAACTACAGTTTCCTTGGAAGATTCTGCAGAACAAAAGGAAAATAATTCTCCCACCCCCTCCAGCTGCCACGGCCGGCCCTCATCAGGACATTCCAGCTATGCGTGGCAAACAGGATCCAACAGACACAATTTGTTCACTGCTGGCATGAAAGCTGCCCGAAGGGGCCCTGCCAGATCTCTGTCAACAGGAAAGCCGATTAAAGCATGCGCCAGCCCAGCGGGGGTGGGGGTCCTTCCTGAAATCACAGCCCAGCTGTGGACGCAGCTCTCCTGAGGCAGCCCTGCAGTGGGTAGAACTGCTGCGAGACCAGGTTGAGGTCTGTTTGCTCTCAGGCTTCTCCACTGAGCAGCAGCTCCCAGCCCACAGGTCCTGACTAAGCCAGCACTGGTCTTCTGCTCCGGACAGTAACATATTTACTTACAGATTTATTTTTGGCCCTACTTCTGGGGCTTGAACTCAAGGCCTCAAACTCTTACTTGGCTTTTTCATGCAAGGCTGTTGTTCTACCATTTGGGCCATACCTCCCCCTCTCAGCTTTCTGCTGATTAACTCATGGATGTTTCTACCTCAGATCTCACCCTCCTGAGACCTGAGAATTACAAGCAGGAGCCACTGGCGTCCAGCAGGCCACAGCTGGGACAGAGCCACTCTCCGTGGGCCTGGACGGCATTGTGTCGCTGCTCACAGAGGCCCTGCCCCATGCTCCAGGCCTGTCTCAGCCTCCCTGGAGCTTGGTTGCGCGAATGAGGCAGAATTGCGCCTTGCAAAACCCTTAGTTCCCACTGAGTGGTCTGAGCGTGCAGCACACTCCCACTCGCTCTGAGTGGTCTGAGCGTGCAGCACAGTCCCACTCGCTCTGAGTGGTCCAGGCGTGCAGCACAGTCCCACTCGCTCTGAGTGGTCTGAGCGTGCAGCACAGTCCCACTCGCTCTGAGTGGTCTGAGCGTGCAGCACAGTCCCACTCGCTCTGAGTGGTCTGAGCGTGCAGCACAGTCCCACTCGCTCTGAGTGGTCCAGGCGTGCAGCACAGTCCCACTCGCTCTGAGTGGTCTGAGCGTGCAGCACAGTCCCACTCGCTCTGAGTGGTCTGAGCGTGCAGCAGAGTCCCACTCGCTCTGAGTGGTCTGAGCGTGCAGCACAGTCCCACTCGCTCTGAGTGGTCCAGGCGTGCAGCACAGTCCCACTCGCTCTGAGTGGTCTGAGTGTGCAGCACAGTCCCACTCGCTCTGAGTGGTCTGAGCGTGCAGCACAGTCCCACTCGCTCTGAGTGGTCCAGGCGTGTAGCACAGTCCCACTCGCTCTGAGTGGTCCAGGCGTGCAGCACAGTCCCACTTGCTCTGAGTGGTCTGAGCGTGCAGCACAGTCCCACTCGCTCTGAGTGGTCCAGGCGTGCAGCACAGTCCCACTTGCTCTGAGTGGTCTGAGCGTGCAGCACAGTCCCACTCGCTCTGAGTGGTCCAGGCGTGCAGCACAGTCCCACTCGCTCTGAGTGGACCAGGCGTGCAGCACAGTCCCACTCGCTCTGAGTGGTCTGAGCGTGCAGCACAGTCCCACTCGCTCTGAGTGGTCTGAGCGTGCAGCACAGTCCCACTCGCTCTGAGTGGTCTGAGCGTGCAGCAGAGTCCCACTCGCTCTGAGTGGTCTGAGCGTGCAGCACAGTCCCACTCGCTCTGAGTGGTCCAGGCGTGCAGCACAGTCCCACTCGCTCTGAGTGGTCTGAGCGTGCAGCACAGTCCCACTCGCTCTGAGTGGTCCAGGCGTGCAGCACAGTCCCACTCGCTCTGAGTGGTCCAGGCGTGCAGCACAGTCCCACTCGCTCTGAGTGGTCTGAGCGTGCAGCAGAGTCCCACTCGCTCTGAGTGGTCCAGGCGTGCAGCACAGTCCCACTTGCTCTGAGTGGTCTGAGCGTGCAGCACAGTCCCACTCGCTCTGAGTGGTCTGAGTGTGCAGCACAGTCCCACTCGCTCTGAGTGGTCTGAGCGTGCAGCACAGTCCCACTCGCTCTGAGTGGTCTGAGCGTGCAGCACAGTCCCACTCGCTCTGAGTGGTCCAGGCGTGCAGCACAGTCCCACTCGCTCTGAGTGGTCTGAGCGTGCAGCACAGTCCCACTCGCTCTGAGTGGTCTGAGCGTGCAGCACAGTCCCACTCGCTCTGAGTGGTCCAGGCATGCAGCACAGTCCCACTCGCTCTGAGTGGTCCAGGCGTGTAGCACAGTCCCACTCGCTCTGAGTGGTCTGAGCGTGCAGCACAGTCCCACTCGCTCTGAGTGGTCCAGGCGTGCAGCACAGTCCCACTCGCTCTGAGTGGTCTGAGCGTGCAGCACAGTCCCACTCGCTCTGAGTGGTCTGAGCGTGCAGCACAGTCCCACTCGCTTTGAGTGGTCCAGGCGTGTAGCACAGTCCCACTCGCTCTGAGTGGTCTGAGCGTGCAGCAGAGTCCCACTCGCTCTGAGTGGTCTGAGCGTGCAGCACAGTCCCACTCGCTCTGAGTGGTCCAGGCGTGCAGCACAGTCCCACTCGCTCTGAGTGGTCCAGGCGTGCAGCACAGTCCCACTCGCTCTGAGTGGTCCAGGCGTGCAGCACAGTCCCACTCGCTCTGAGTGGTCTGAGCGTGCAGCACAGTCCCACTCGCTCTGAGTGGTCTGAGCGTGCAGCACAGTCCCACTCGCTCTGAGTGGTCCAGGCCCCAGACACACACTGCCCCAGACACACACTGCCTGACACACACTGCCTGACACACACTGCCCCAGACACACACTGCCTGACACACACTGCCTGACACACACTGCCCCAGACACACACTGCCTGACACACACTGCCCCAGACACACACTGCCCCAGACACACACTGCCTGACACACACTGCCCTGACACACACTGCCTGACACACACTGCCCCAGACACACACTGCCCTGACACACACTGCCCCAGACACACACTGCCTGACACACACTGCCTGACACACACTGCCCTGACACACACTGCTCCAGAAACACACTGCCCTGACACACACTGCCTGACACACTCTGCTCTGACACACACTGCCTGACACACACTGCCCTGACACACACTGACCCGACACACACTACCCCAGAAACACACTGCCCTGACACACACTGCCCTGACACACACTGCCTGACACACACTGCCCCAGACACACACTGCCCAAGACACACACTGCCCTGACACACACTGCCTGACACACACTGCCCCAGACACACACTGCCCAAGACACACACTGCCCTGACACACACTGCCCTGACACACACTGCCCTGACACACACTGCCCTGACACACAGTACCCAGACACACATGTCTGACACACACTGCCTGACACACACTGCCTGACACACACTGCCTGACACACACTGCCCCAGACACACACTGCCTGACACACACTGCCCCAGACACACACTGCCCTGACCCACACTGCCTGACACACACTGCCCTGACACACACTGCCCTGGCACACACTACCCTGACACACACTGCCCTGACACACACTGCCCTGACACACACTGCCCCAGACACACACTGCCCTGACACACACTGCCCCAGACACACACTGCCCTGACACACACTGCCTGACACACACTGCCCCAGACACACACTGCCCAAGACACACACTGCCCTGACACACACTGCCTGACACACACTGCCCCAGACACAAACTGCCCAAGACACACACTGCCCTGAAACATACTGCCCTGACACACACTGCCCTGACACACACTGCCCTGACACACAGTACCCAGACACACATGTCTGACACACACTGCCTGACACACACTGCCTGACACACACTGCCTGACACACACTGCCCCAGACACACACTGCCCTGACACACACTGCCCCAGACACACACTGCCCTGACACACACTGCCTGACACACACTGCCCTCTCACACAGTGCCCTGACACACACTGCCCTGACACACACTACCCTGACACACACTGCCCTGACACACACTGCCCTGACACACACTGCCCCAGACACACACTGCCCTGACACACACTGCCCCAGACACACACTGCCCTGACACACACTGCCCTGACACACACTGCCCCAGACACACACTGCCCTGACACACACTGCCCCAGACACACACTGCCCTG